ACCTCGAGACCCGAAACTGTGCGAGGGTTGGAGAGGCTGCTCCGGTCGGCGTTGCTCTAATGCATCCACAAATAGATTAAGTGACGAATGACGAAATTCAATCCAACTCCGTAGATGTAGATAAGAGTCGATCCGCGGGAAACAAAGGTCCGAATTCGCAGACCATGGATTCTAGAATCGTAACCAGCTGATTTCGAACCAGGAATATGAGATGGAAACCTGCAGATTCTCTTGCTCTGGCGATCCTTTCACCGAACGGCCCGACAGGAATGTCAATTACCAATCAATTCTCAGTATGGAATATGCTAAGATATTATGAAATTGATTTGCATCAGTCAAAAGATAACTGCCAGTTCCGGTTGTCCGATCAGTCGGTCCAATTGGTCTATCCAGACATTCGGTCAGGGACAGCGGAGCCTTTTCCCGCCAGAATCAGGAACGAGACTACGAACGGAGGGGTAAGACGCTCAACGCTGGAGGATCTACATCATCAACCATTTTGCATTTCTGTTACGACAATGTCAAAGAAAAATATGAGAGAATGAACGGATGTAGTATTGAATTGCACTGTGGACCAGGATACATCATCAGTTCTGTATCCCCGCTTTGTATTCAACCATCGATGGATGCGGTTGGGGTCAACAAGAACTGTACAATTCCGGAGAATAGTGACTCATCTATTTCATAATCCAATTTCGTACCTACAATTGTTACTTTGCAAGATTAATCAATTGACTTTCCGGATTCTCTGCATTTTGTTGATGCCAATTAGCGGGAACCTTATTGGATCCTTTTTCTCCAACCCCTCCCCACACTCTTCGTCTTCCCTTCTCCGTCTGATCGTGTCATTCCGGTGAAACACTAAGATAGACACATCCTCCCTCCCAACTACGTGTAGTGCCCCTCTCATCCTTGTCCACACTCCCGAGGTTCGGTCCAGATGCTAGTCTAATCAATTAGCCTCCGTATTGACGATTATTATCGCTCTCCCTTTGTGTCATTTCCTATCCCTTCTTCACCATCACACACCACACCACAGACACACACCATGTCGCTATCTCTATCGCGGTCCCTGCACAGGGCCCTTCTGAGGAGATCCTATGGCACAGTCCAAGCTCCTCCCAGTGCTGCCTCACTCACAGCCAACCGCATCCCTCCCGCCCTCCAAGAAGCAACCGCCGCCACAGCCCCGCGCACCAACTGGTCTCGGGAAGAGGTCCAGCAGATCTATGAGACTCCTCTGAGCCAATTGACTTATGCTGCGGTAGGTCATCCTCTCCTCATTATTTTCAATGCATACTGACTTCTGACAGGCCGCCGTCCACCGTCGCTTCCATGACCCCGCCGCCATCCAGATGTGTACGCTGATGAACATCAAGACCGGCGGCTGCAGCGAAGACTGCTCGTACTGCGCACAGTCCTCCCGGTACAGCACCGGCCTCAAAGCCACCAAGATGAGCCCCGTCGACGACGTACTCAAGGCCGCCCGCATCGCCAAGGACAACGGCAGCACCCGGTTCTGCATGGGCGCCGCCTGGCGCGACATGCGCGGCCGCAAGACAAGCCTCAAAAACATCAAGGAGATGGTCTCGGGCGTGCGCGCGATGGGCATGGAGGTCTGCGTGACCCTCGGCATGATCGACGAGAACCAGGCCAAGGAGCTCAAGGACGCCGGCTTGACTGCCTACAACCACAACCTCGACACCTCGCGCGAGTTCTACCCCTCCATCATCACAACCCGCTCCTACGACGAGCGCCTGCAGACTCTGTCGCACGTCCGCGACGCCGGCATCAATGTCTGCTCCGGCGGCATCCTGGGCCTCGGCGAGGCCGACTCCGACCGCATCGGCCTCATCCATACCGTCGCCAACCTGCCCTCTCACCCCGAATCGTTCCCCGTCAACGCCCTCGTTCCCATCAAGGGCACCCCGCTCGGCGACCGCAAGATGATCCCCTTTGACAAGCTGCTGCGCACCATTGCCACCGCTCGTATCGTCCTGCCGGCCACCATCGTCCGTCTCGCCGCGGGCCGCATCTCGCTGTCGGAGGAACAGCAGGTCGCCTGCTTCATGGCCGGTGCCAACGCCGTCTTCACCGGCGAGAAGATGTTGACGACGGATTGCAACGGCTGGGACGAGGACCGCGAGATGTTTGAGCGCTGGGGATTCTATCCCATGCGGAGCTTTGAGAAGGAGGGCTCCACGCAGCCAGCCGTCGAGGCCCCCCCTGCCCCTGCCCCTGCTGCCCACGATAGTGTATCTGCTGCGCCGGCCGCAGCTAGCTCGTAGACCTACTATCATGAATGTTCAATGATATCAAGCTTGTATGTCTTTTTCGTACACATCCAAAATAGTTCATTCGCCATACAGTGATGATTCTGGTCTACGGGTTGCTCTAGAACTACTGGCGATAAAATCATGTTCGTGCTATGGCACCTTTCCAGTCCAGAAGTTGAAGAAAAGGACACGAAGATAAGACATTACAAGCATCTACTACATCCACCGATTCATAGAATGGCCACGGTGAATATATGCTTAGATGCATTCACTAGGACCTAAAAGTAAGACATTACTCCAAATATATTGCATTCGCAGTCTCATATGGACCAAACAGTGAATAGATATGTAGATATATTCACATCATTATATCAGAACAGGAGATCTCTTCAGTAAACGTCTTCCAGCACTCCCTGGATCTCCTGCTTGCTTTTTCCTCCAACTCTCTTGCTGTTGATACATCAAGATATCGATTACTGTACCAGATATTACTGACAGACTTGATTTTGGTATACACATTGAACAAAAACGGGATCATGAATGACATGTCAAGCTATTGATTTCTCGGGCATGTGAGTATATATCTTCTTCTGCTGCTCCGTCTCCCTTTTCTTGGGATTTCACTGTCTAACTGTCCCTTTAGCACTTGAAAATTCCGTACAGAAGCTGATCCTTCTATTTCCAAAACGTCAATCTTGAAATCAATATGGCGCAGCCACTGGCAGGTTACTGGACGCTTCCTATTATTGCGTCTTAACTCTCAGTGATAAACCCTGCAATCATCCTTATCAGGAACGGATCGATCACTTGTGGTCGAGTATCCTCAACCACTACTTCCCGCTGCGCGATGGTTTTGGTGCCGAGAGGGAACCATCCCTACATCCAAGCCAGTTGCGGCCAACGTTGCCGTCACCAACATACTCCGAACCATATGCACAAAGTGATCATCGTCGAGATATTTTATCTTCGAAAAGAAGATATAGAACCAATTGTGGTCTTCGTTGCTCCGCTTTAATAGACCATCGCAGTATTAATAAAGCGGACAAGTGCTCGGTATAGAATCCACCGGTTCGCCTGAGGAATCCAGTGCACGGAATGCACTTCTGTTGCTGGGTCAGAAGCATCTCTGGCTGTTCGACCACCCAGACGTGGTCAAAGTCGTGGATGGTCCAGCCTGTCTTCTGGAAGATGAGATTGTCACAGTTCCCCGCGGCATTGATCCAGTGGGCTTCCTGTGAAGTATCGTTCGGATGAGAAGAAGATCCATTGTATATGCAAGGATTATACAATGGTCTACGTTTTTTCAACCCTCCCATATTCCACTCAGACTTACCGGACCGAATTACCTCGGAAGTAACCTACATTGCATTGCAGATATCTACCGATCGATCGTCCTCAGGCTTTGTCGAAGTGTCCTGTGTTGAAAGCGAAAGCCAAAAACAAACAACTTCAGGAGATTGGCAGGCTCCCAACCATTAACTGCTGCCTATGGACAACGGCGCGCGAAGCTCATCGTGCAGGCAGCTGACAGACCCAATTGGTCGAGAGTGTTCCAGTGCAGCTGGACCGAAGACGGGGAGTTCCATCTTCGCGCCTCTAGGGGGGTTTGAGGTTGAGCCCCGGGCTCGGGATGATGAGCCCGCCGTCAAATTATCAATAATGAAAGATTTATGGGAACGCCTTAAGGCCTAGGCATTGACCTTGAACGTGTGATGGCGGAGAAAGGCTCTCAAGGGAGTTACATATATGACTGTGAGGGGACATAATATCGGCTTAACAACGACTGACTGGGCAGCATTCGAGCTGAAACTCTTCGAGCATTACCACGAACACCAGCTGAATAGCTATCAGTTCTCTCTCTTCCAGCAGCTAGCGGGAAGTGATCCGGTTCTGTGGCTTGTGCTGGCCCTTATCTGGTCAGACACTGACATCTTGCCTTCCCGCAGGACCAAAGAGGGTTTCAGTGTGATACAGGGATGGGATCCTGGCTGGCCGTGTTGCTATCACCACACTCAGGCAATGCGGATGCCTATAGATCAATCATGGCAGAGGGGAATCTTCCTCCAAGAGCGGACGACTATTCACCAGCATATTACTTGCCTGGTCAGAGAACTGGTACTGCTGTTTTGCTCCGACCAACTCTCCTCCCAGCGCCAGTCATAATGGAGCTATCGAACGGGCTTTGATCTCCAAGTTCGCGGTGCCTGAGGCTGTTCAGAAGCTCCGCTCCGCTCAGAAAGGGAGCCTGTTCCCTTAGGTCTTCCAGACCTAGCAACGCAAGTGGACACATACATCGAGAATCCAGCCATCCTTCAGGGAATCAGTCCACTGTAAGAGGCTATTCTGAGTCGACGCTCTTATCTGGAGGCCGAGATAGACGCTGAGGTACAAGAAGAGATCAAGGTTCTCTCAGGCGAAGATAGGAACAATGTGTGGGAATGGATCATCGATTGGAGAACGGCCATCTATGTATCCATTTAGCTCAGCTACAAGATTTTAATGAAAGATAGAGACGACTATATTTGCAGATCGAACAAGCTCCTATTGATGGTTTCTAAAAAATAAAAATTAAGAAATAAAGAAAAAAGGCCGTTGCGTACTCATGATCATCCCAGGCATAACTGTACAAGGAAATTTCTGACTTATTACAATGATAACTTAGGAAGGAACTGGGGTTGCAGAGTAAATAAACAAAACACCAAGACTCCCCGCAGAATGGTGAAATCAGGATGACCACGCTGCTCGACAGTTGGGGCAGGACGGGCAGACACGATCCCCGCGTGGGGTTCGAAATGCACGCTGAGTAGCAAGCCACACGTCGATGCAGTCTTTGTGGTAATTCTTTCCGCACTGGTTTTTGCAATATACAAGGTCGTCAAGATTGTCTTCTTCGTTGTCATCGTGCTCATTGTCGGACGCAGTGTCGGAAACATCATTATCATTATCATTGTCATCATCGCTGTCTTCTGATCCCTCGCCGTCTTCATCACTGCCTTGTTCTCGTAGAGGACACATGCAGATATCACAGTCTCCTTCAATCGGTTTGCGAGTGGTTGTTCTGGGCTCACTCTGAGGGACGGTTGGCGCCCTGGCATCACTGGGGACAGCTGGCGACGAAGGCTCGGTAGATGTCCGGCGTGGAGAAGGTTGAGGTTCAGGTTGGGGCTCAGGTTCGTCCGCCCTATCTCCTCTTTCTTCGTCCTCTTCCTCTCTTTCAATAGTGGCCGGTTCTTCCTCCGTTACAATAGCAGCCGACCTCTCCAATCGTGTCGGACTCAAACCTCTTCCTGAGACACGCTGGCGCGCCGACCCAGCAGCAAGCGAACGCGCCCGACTGTCCACAAGCTCTTGGAGGGATTTCAACATAGAATCCAGAAGAGTCTGCTGCTGGAACGCCCGCAGCTTAGCCCGCCAGTCGCGGACCAAGTCGTTTGCCTGGTATTGGTGGAAGCGTGTGCAGAGAACTAGCGGGGCTAGCTCGATGAGCAGACCGTCGACGGGTAGGCCGTGCTGGAGGAATCTGGTGCCCTCTTTGAGGAGCCAGGAGGCCCTGTCTCGGTTGTCTTTCCTGGTTCGCATTCTGCAGCGGCGCCCTTGGGATGGAGCGTACCCGTAGCAGTTGTACTCGCATTCGGGGTAGACTTCCAGGATTGTAGATAGGTTGGGGTAGGACATTGTGCTTGCTAATGTGATAATTACGAGAGTCTGAGGTGAGATTCCAATTCTGAGAAATGTGCTGTTGACTTGAAGACAAGAATGACCGCACAGGAATCTCGAGCCTTATATGCCATTTCTCCTATACACCTTCAGCAACCAACAGACTCTATCCTGCTTCACGATCATGGCAACACAGCCACTGGCAGAACTGCACCGACTGTGCCACACACGCTATGCGTCTGAAAATATCCAGAGCCAAGGATCATTAACCTCATGAGGAAAGGCACTAAGGCATCCAAGTTTGAAACCCTGCTCGTTGATATGAAACAGCGAATTGCCATGGCCAAGGTGAAGCCACATCGCTCATCATGCCATGCCAGTTCACTGATAATTCAGGCATCGACATTCTTAAGCGCCTGGGCAGTTAGCCTTGTACCAACATTCCAAGGAAGATAGTGGCTTGTATGGTTACATCCAGCAGACGCCCATTCCATAACAGATCAGGTGCGACGGTCCGCCAGGGCTAGAAGTGCGCTATCTGCAAGTTATGACTCGTGCGACAGTAGTAGGGTAGTGTTGGTTACTGGTATGCCCCATAGTTCGGCGCTTAGCAGGGATCTGGTGGCCCTACCTAGTCTAATCTAGCCCCGTCTGTGAATTGACTGTGCCGCTTGGGCTTGGGCTTGGGCTTGGGCTTGTCCTTCTGATGCTTGAAATAGATACAGTTCCTTGTTCTCTGAGGCGGTGCATGCGTCCAAGGTCAAGGCCGTAATGGGAAACCGCGTGGCTTCCAATCCCTCTCTTGTCTGGGTGAGAGCCATACTGGACGGCTGACCGACTGAAAGGCTGGATCAACTGCGCTTTACTATGATATATGCTCAGAATTATTCAAATGCCAATAATGCCGTCGATTTGCTCGCTGTCTCTCTCTTCCTGGAGATGTGGTGGGCAAGCAACTGAGGATGGCATATCAGGGTGCTCTACGGCACCTTCGGAAGAGGGCTCATCTGTCATTGGTCAATGGCAACTAGGAACTCAGTCAAAGGAGGCCGAGGTGGAGATGATTAAAAAAAAAAAAAGAAAATAAAAAAGATATGACAAGAGTGGGATTCGAACCCACGCGGTTTCCCATTACGGCCTAAACGTAACTGGGTGATTATTAGTCAATGTTGAGAGTAAAACGGGTCACACGATATCCTTACCGCCTTAACCACTCGGCCATCTTGCCCGGTTGCGAGAACTCATGTAAATTTGAATTATATGCCGAGTTTTGGCCCTTCCACCCAGAACAATAACGTCGATTATGAAAGGGACTCAGAATCAATATCATTTATAATAGTTCAGTCCGAGTCTGCCTGAAAGGATGCCATCCTTGCGTCAATATGATAGTATTTCAATCTGTGGCTCATGGCATATTGATCGCTGCCTAATATATCCAAGCCCGATTATATATACTTTACGTTGGGCATGCCACGCTTTGGCTATTTCATAATTATCAATGTGTCCAGAAGAAAGTAATAATATGAGGTATTTGGCTCTTGAATGTTCAGAAGCGAAGTTTACATGCTCGCCTCAATACTCAGTTGATAAGATCTGCAGCTGGGACATAGCAACCAGGCATCATCTCTTAAAATAAATGGACACCGTTCATGACATACGCACTCAAGGTTGATGGTTCATTCCATTATCAAAATTTGTCCATTGCGCTGACTGTAACCAGGGCTATATAATCTACAAAGTTATCGAACTGAACAATGTCACACCCCTAGTGGTTTGAAAAGTATCCATTCTTAAGCTTTCAATAGACGCATCGACGCCGATATCCACCACGAACTTGACATCCAACAAATGAGTGCAGGCCAATTAGTAGTTGCCGTTCCTTTCAGACATATGCACCAAGTTTCAATCACATGTACCAGTGGCACCAAAGGTTTGGTCGTCCTAGGTCGTAGCAATCTTAGCGATCACCACATCAGACCTCAGCTTCTTCCTCTGTAAGGAGCGCCATACAATACAGATGGCATGACTAATCAGTACAAAGTTGGTCGATATTAATGTGCGCGGATGTTCGTCCATTGCGTCAGCACCAAGCCAGGTTTCTATATGATTGTCTCAAGCAAGTCGATACATCATGATTGCCAGGAGACACTCAGCGTCAAGGGGGAACGATGTCAGAAACCAAATCATTTCCAAACTTCCCTGGTTTTACTGAACATCTTCATTCCATAAAACAAAACCATGGTATTGAAGCGAAGTAATCGTCTGGTAGAAGTTAGAACCAGAAGGGACGGCTTCCAGGGCCCAAGAACTTAGCGATTTGAAAACCTTCGTAGTGGGCCGTTCCTGGTCGCTTGCGTTGTTTCCAGTCCTATTTTTCTGCCCCAAGCAGTCGGGATATACCGACTGGATCAGTGAAAAAAAAAGGAGTCAAGTGGCAAAGCCACCAATCTGCGGAAGATTCAAAGATCCTGACCACGGTTAGCCATATACATTCAAATACGCTGGAGTGAGTATTATATCATCACTCCTATCCCATCCGGAAGACTCAGAAACAAGCAGATAGCTAGTGTCGAGTAGGGACAGGCGCATCATCAACCTTATCCCTCCCAAAGAACGCACAGCGGGCAAGCCATTCAAGTCCGTTATCATGAAGCCGTTGTTCCCGTGCATTCAGAAGACCGGGTTTCCTGTTAGGCAAGGCCAGGTTATGTGTTTGTTTGAGATGTCGGACCAGCTTGCTTGGTTCTTCGAAAAAAGTCTAGAGACAGTCGGGGTTAGCATTGATCACCAGTCAAGTGGAAACTCCATACTGACCTTACCCTGGCACCCAGACCAGCGACAGAACACCTCACCCCTATAGACCACTGGGTTCTCCGCATCGATAGCAGGCCACTCATTTGAGTACATCTGAATCTGTGCATAGGAGGTATAGCCATTTGTTGATCTATTTTCACTTGTTAAAGAGCGCTTTAAGCCGCGCGGTGCAGGAGGGTCCCGTTCAGGGGAGACATATCCAGGCAGAAGCCTGCATTGTCTCTCTTCATGCCTGATGCGAACATCTTTCCGTGCAAAGATCTTGCCACAGTAGTGACAAGTCTTATCCTCTTCAGACTCGTTGCTATGATTGTGCTTTTTATGAACAGTTAGATAAATGGACTTATCAAATCCTTCATCACACTCATTACACAAGTACTTAGCTGGCTCACTTTCTTTCAAGTGGAAATCAGGGGGGGTGTTGCGGGATTTAGTCACCTCCAACAGTTTGTTTGTTACACCTGCTAGGTCCTGCTTTATCAAGCTAATAACCTGGATGTTTTTAACAAACTCTGCTGTGTCATAAGGTGTCTCATCAGGTTCTATCTCACATCTTAGCAGCTGTACAGCTGCTTGAGCATCTGCTTCTCTAAAGACTCGTGGTACCTCAACGTAGAACCTCAGTGTGATTCTAATATCAAAGTATGGTGTGAAGAGGTCGGCAAATACAAATGGATTTGTAAATATACCATCCATTCACAGCCATAATGACAGAACGGCTGGTTTCCCTAGCCTTACTGAGTTCCTCTAACAGTTGAGTAACCAAGTGTCCTTGAGGCCGGAAAGCCTCAGAAGACTGGATGAATGTAAGAAAAGTTGGCTCCTGAGAAAGAATCCCATACGTCTGTTCATAAGACGTACGGGTGAACTCCAGGCTCCGCAGAAGGTAGTCATGCGTCGCTTCGGCACTACCCTGCTGGTTCTTAGAAGCATGCGCAATAAAAATCACAAGTGGTCCCATGCTTCTTTCGAAGGAATGAAACCCGGGAATTGGTACGATTTCTCTAAAGCGACATTGGAAGTATCCAGCAAAGAAAGCAGAAGTCCTCGACGGATTGTGATCTTGAGGAAAGGAAAGGAAAGGAAAAGAAAGAGAGAAGAAGGGAAGACGACACAACCTGAGAAGTCCGAGCTGGGTGCCCCCGGGGAGGGGGGCCGTGACTCTCACTGATTCGTTAAGACCCTCAGGCAAAACATCATTCTGGGAAGGTGCTGTATCTCAGATTGCCTCAACTACAGTAGTTTGGATCTTTGATGAGTGTACTTGTCGTTCGGATCCATTTAAATCGTAGCCCCGATCAAGCATTTTGGCGATCAACATAATCTTTGGCAATTGAGTGCTGTAGGCCAAAGTACAGCGTATGCTGTTCTCCTCGTCGAACATGATGTGATTCAGCGCCATGATGTATCAAAGCTTCGCCTTGTCGTAAAAATGTTGGCTTATGGCATGCCAGAGACAGTCGCAACCAGCTCGTCCGAGAATGCTTTTCAATATCTCGTGGCTTGCAAATACATTAAAGATGAAAAAATCTCCGCTCAAATCGACGCCTCATCTCAAAACCTTTCCCGAACACGTATCTAAGTTATCTTGGTTCTGTCTGGAAGAAGGAACGCTTTCCTTCGACAATCGGTTGGGAGTCGGCTTGTGGGCACCTTCCCTTTTGGGATGTTGGGCCACGGCTGGCGGACCTCAGATGCGTCGGCTGCCTCAGGCTCAACAGCAGTAAGCTTGTTCGTCTCTGCTATACCTCACTACGCTTTGGAAGGTTCGTGGGGAGTGTAACCACGCCTCGGGATAATGTAGCTCGACCGGTTCTGAAGTTGGCCCTGATCCGTCCTCCGTCAGCTGAAATACTTTCCTGCGGCAAAGGGTCGGGGTAGGAGGCAGTTATGTAGTTGAGACGAGTATCAAGTTCTGGCAATCTATTCTGATTTGGAAAGCTTCTGTAATGCGCAGTGATCTGATGGGCGGTTCTGATGATCCTCTCAGGTAGAACGGATGATGGTACTGATGATGGTTCGATGACAGTTGGCCGTGCCGGCCGGCAAGGCGTCCCTTGCTGATGGTGGTGTTGCAGTGAGATGATTAAGTTGTTCGATGAGAGAAGAGAAGAAAAAGGGTTCGGGGGAAGAGTTTCAATCTGAGGTCTCGGATCTTAGGGACATGTTACCATGTTGTGGTGGTACCTGCCCTTTGCAGTAATAGCAAACACATATACCACGTGCCCATATATGCAGGCAGTCCTGCTGCCTGAGTGTTCCATGATCATAGAGGCAATTACTAGTGAATCTGCAGAAGGGCGAAAATTGAGGGGAAAAAAAAAAGATTAAATCACTACTTCTATTCATGACTATGCACATTTTGCTCAATGCAAACCAGTGGCTACCAATTAAACCCATGCAAGGCCACACAGTAGCTTCCATGACCTCCAATTGCTGCTATCCAGGCCTATTGTAAGATCTAAACCATCGATTTTTCCACGTTCAGGTCACTCGTTGCTTGGGTCTCGGACCTGCTCATGGTCGTATATCGACTAAAGTCCCGAAGTATCCTATCTCTGCCGCTTTCCTTATGACTGGTCCGTCTGAAGTAAATGCGCTTGCACCACTTCCAAGCCTCGCAGCCAGCGAAGAAAAGAAGCGCTTCGACAAACACCACACCCCACTCCCAGGAGATACCGACATGTTTGAAAACAACGTCATTGATCACAGGGATGTACAGGATAGGGAAGGTCGTGACGAATCCAATCATGATGCCGCTGAACAGAAACTTGTTGCGCCAGACGTCAAGCATCCATTGGGTGAAATAGCGCTTGGAACCGGGCTGCATGCGGAAGAAACTGCGGCGCATATCGATCATCTCCCAGGCGAGGAAGAGAGCGAACCAGGTCATGCACACGAAGGTGGTGGCTCGGGCGCGGAACACACCGTCGCATTCGGGGCTGTAGTCGCTGTTGCAGCCTGAGGCCAGGTTGCCATCTCCCCAGCCGAAGAGGACGAGCGAGAAAGAGGCGAGACAGAGAGCTGCCATCCAGACGCCGTAGACGATGGTGTCGACTATGACTTCCCAGGTGAAAATACCTTGTTTCTGTTGCCGTTAGTATATATGACCCAAAAAGAGTGACTGATGTACTTACGCTTTGAGGAGGACGGTCCATAATATCTGGAGCGGCGATTTCCATACCTAGTCCCATATCCGGGAGACCGGAGGTGATCATGATGATCCATAGAATTTCGACGGGAGCAATAGGAAACACAGATTGCCCATTGTCATCTTTGAAACAGAGACCGATCAGAAGCGTGAGGGCCAGGCCGACGTTTTCCGCCAAAAGATGCAGGACGAATTTCTGAATATTATCAAAAATACGACGGCCCTCCTCAATGCCGTTGATGATTGAAGCAAAGTTATCATCAGTCAACACCAGTTCCGAGGCGTCCTTTGCCACATCAGACCCTGCTTGTCCCATAGCAATACCGACATCTGCACGCTTCAAGGATGGAGAGTCATTGACTCCATCGCCAGTCATTGCAGCAAACCGACCCCGACGATGAAGGGCATCAATCATCCGAACCTTTGTGTTGGGAGCACACCGAGCAATCACAGCAGGAAGAGTAGGCAACGCATCAATTTCCTCTTCTGTCAACTTGTCAAACTGACTGGCCGTCATCACCATGGCGTCCGCAACATCTTTGGCAAGGCTATCCATGTTGGCTGGAATGATACCAACCTGCGCTGCGATGGCTCGCGCAGTACCGGGGTGGTCACCAGTGACCATGTGGACCGAAATCCCAGCGCGATAGCACTCGTCAATAGCGCCTGCAGTCTCAGGCCGGGGAGGGTCATACAGACCGATGAGTCCACAGAACGTGAGATCTTTCTCCACTTCCTCACGGGCAGGGACATCTTCCCCTTTGACGGGGTGGTAATTATCCCGGCAGGCAAGGCAGAGAACCCGCAAGCCCTCCTTTGCGAGAGCTTCCATGTTCTGCAGGATTTCCTCCTTGATGTTATCATCCAAGGCGATCGGGTCGGAACCAGCGGTCCAGGTGACGGTGGTGCAAGCCTCGAGGACCCGTTCCACCGCCCCCTTGGTGAAGATCATCTCCCGGTCGTCGTTGCTGTTCCTGAAGATGACGGACATCTTCTTCACGGTGGAGTCAAACGGATATTCGGCTTTTTGGCGCCAAACAGGCTTCTCGCCTTTGGTCCAGCGATCGCGTCCCCAGTTAAAGCGGGAGGCAAATACCTGAATTGCAATATCAGTCGGTTCACCACGAGCCTGCCATTCATTGTGCTCGGATTTGTGCACATGGGCCAGGTTTGCCATGGCTGCCACATTCAAGTATTGCTCCAGAAGAGGATTGTCCTTGAGCAGATCGTCCGGCAGAGAAGGCTCTCCCTGAGCGTCCGGACCGACTTTGACCGGCGGGTCAGGCAGCAGGCTCAGGTCGCCCTCTTCCGGATTCAAGGGATTATTGGAAGACCCCACCGAGTAGGTGCCAACAGAGGGAATCCAAGCCCGCTTGGCGACCATGCGCCCCTGGGTGAGGGTTCCCGTTTTGTCTGAGCAAATGTTAGTCACAGCGCCCAGGGCTTCAAGGGAATCAAGCTTCCGGACAATGACATGTCTTTCAACCATTTGCTTGGTGCCAACCGCCATGGTGATGGTCAGGACCACCACCAGACAGGCCGGAATCATTGCAAGGCCCGTAGCGACTGCATAAATGATGACCTCCTTGTCATTGCGGAACCCATTGACGCCCATGACAATGATGGCGAAGATGACGGCGATGACGAAAAGGGCCAAAGCCAGTTTGGAGAGTTTGCGTTGCAGCGGTGTGCCAACATTGATTCCTAGGAATCGTCCCACGGCGTCGGTGCAGGTCAGGGTCCATGCCTGCACGTACCATCGCTTCTTGGTTTCTCCCTCGGGACCTCGCTTGACGGGCCGCTTCCTGGAGTCGCTGGCGCGGAGAGCAGCGGCGATGGCTCCAATCTCGGTTTGCATCCCGGTGCCGATGACAACGCCCCGAGCGCGGCCTCTCGTCACCGTCGAGGAACTATACGCAATGTTCAAGCGATCGCCTGGTCCCGTGTCCGGGTCAAACGTTGTATCGACCTCTTTTTGCACTGGCAGCGACTCGCCAGTCAGGAGGGCCTCGTCGGTTTCGAAATTCATAGCATCAACGAGCCTATCAACAGTTAGTGAACGGAACGATATTGTCTAATAACTCATACGCACCGAAGATCTGCAGGAACCGTGTCTCCAACTTTGAGTTCAACCATGTCCCCAGGGACAATCTCGTTGGCAGGAATGGTATTGGTTTTGCCATCACGCGTGACGATTCCGGTGGGAGAACTCAATGATCGAAGGGAGTCCATCGTTTTCTCTGCGGCATAGTCTTGATAGACACCTACCACGATGTTCAAACCAATGACAGCTCCAATAACACCACCTTCGATCCAGGATTGAATGCCGAAACTGACCGCCATGGCGATAATAAGGACCTGTTGTCATCAGTTGTCTGTCACTATCGGTCTAAAACGGAGAGACTAACCAGAATCATGGCATTTGCAATCTGCCTAATGACAATCTTGACCATCGAAACACCCTCTCCCCCTTCCAGCTCATTTGGACCATACTGTTGGAGTCTTCGCTTTGCCTCCTCCAATGTCAGACCCTCGTCGGGATCGACGGCCAGCTCACGAAGGACATCCTCATAGCGAAGAGCATGAGCAGGCTGAGACAGAGCCTGAGAGTTGTCAGAGGATTGCTTCTTCTGCGCACCCATGTTAAAATAAAATTTCTATTCCAGTGAGGTTGTCTTAAGGAGGCTTCATGTATATCGTATCTTCAAGCGAGTGAGAGTCCATACACGACGACTTAAAATCAACTTTGAAACTAAAACCTAGATTACAGAACCAGATTCTCTTTCCCTGTTCCTTGCTGGGGTATCGCAACATATTTAAGTCTCTCTGTCTCACTCATCACCGGCACCCCCGAACACCCCCATGACGTGAACAGTGGTTCCAATCTTGGCACCCTTATCAATCCGTACTCGTTTACACTGTCACACCAATCACATCCCCAACCCATCGCATACATAAGAGGCAATCGATCCAGAATCTTGGCCGAATTCCTTGGATCGGTGCGCGAGCGTTTGCCGCCTCCCGGGCCGATGACGCACACGACACCAGACACGGTCGACATCCCACCCACGTGAGCACCTTCGGCCGGGCGACACCAAGAAACCGCCAAGTCCCACGGCGAATAAGTGGCCAATCGTTTCGGGCTGGGCGTCCTGATTGGCTGAGACAGGCGGTCGCGGGGCAACCGGAACCACTGTGCCAAGAGCGGGAGCCTTGGCGGCCTTTGGGTTATTTCCCGCCTGGATTGTCTTGGAGTTCTTGGCGAGAGGCAGCAAGTGGTGGCCTGAGACCCAGTGGCAGCCCTATCTAAATGCAGGCTGGTTCCCCCATCGCCAGACGGAGCCCGACGCCCAACACGGCCTGTGACTATCTTGCCTAGTGTTTATGCTCCATTGTGGGTGTTGGTTTGCTGAATGGCTGTCTGATATCCTCCCCCAGTCCCCACACCAGTGATTGTGTTTTGTGCGCACAGGCGCTCGCTTTGATCAGACTGTGCATATATTCTGGCTTGTTGAGACTAGCCGATTTACCCGATTACGTGTCGTCCGTGGGCTGTTGGAGACTGGTTCATTGTCTCGTTCTCGTTTTGACTATACCCTCTTCGTCTACGGAGTGAGTGTTTCTATGGCTAGCAATGGGGAGATCGCAGGTGTAGTTGCGGGAGCAGTCGTCTTATTCGTCGCCATCAGTGCGATCCCTATGTGAGTTCGACCTGTCCTCGAATGTCGCTGGGGAATGTTCTATGATTTTTTATATGCTTCGTTGCGAGTGCCCAGACCGCTGGAATCCGACTATAGAGGTAACAACTGACAAACTTGGAACACAGCTTAATCATGTGGCGGCACCGCAGGAAAGAGAATGCAAGAAGAGCCCGCGAGCTGGCCGCGCTGCGAGAGTCCGGCTGCATGCGACAGGTAGGCGTGGAGAGATGGCTGGAAGAGCAGCGGAGCGATATCGTTGCGTGCAGCAGAAGCAACAACAACAAGAATGTCCATGATTTTGGCCGGTACGCGCAAGAACCGTGGTAAGTCCCCTTTTCAGACTCTCGGGCTATCGGCCTTCCTTTGTTCTTGGCCTTGGAGACAATGCGGGGACAGGGCTGCACTAGTGGCCTTGGCTGCTCTCATCAGTGAGACATTGTCAATCCGTGATCCCACCGGTCATTAATGAGTAACGGTGGGTTTGTTCCCATAGTGCCGTCTGCCTCTCGACCCTGCTACCCTCGTCGCCGTCGCAATCGTCGCTTCCGTGCTCGGATCCAGAGCGTTACCCACAAGGCACATCTGATCTGGGCCCGCCTGCGGAGGCATCCCTGCTCGTTCTCAATCGCTGCGGTCATGCGTTTCATTGCTCCTGTCTTGCGTCATGGTGGGAATACCGTCCGTACAGGTGCCCAGTATGTCAGACATCGTACGCCCCGGAAGAATGACATTCAGATTTTGGCTTGCTTTTGTTGCTTTCTTCCAAGTTGGCTGGACTTTCTTGGAACCGTGGTTAGCGCTTATTTTGCTTTTGTCTCTGGCTCGTCATGTAAAACCACTATCCAGAACAGCAATTTCTCTTGGCATGATGGCGGAAGAGCAGACAAGGTCGGCATCGACCTGTAAATTTGACGACCTTTGGATGAGTATTGTTGTAAGTGGCACTGAATAATGCCATAAACTCTATAGCACCGTCAACTAGAAGTTTTCTTGAGCCTTCCATCCGCCAAGAAGGCTCCTCGCGAAGTTCAATCCATGGCGAAGGACTGAAGCAACCTAGTTCTCCAACATCCACTAAGACATTCGGAGAAATGCCGTTTCAACTTGGTCTAATCGTGAGGCCAAAGAGTTAAGGTTCAAAACTCATATCCAACAAAACTCTAAATGCACTAGAGACCTGAAAATAAATCAGATATGAATGTCTCCGCATCTCAAGTCATGTGCCCCAGACTATTCTGGTAGGACAACATCCTGCCGCTTGCAGTCAATTCGGCGAATATATCCTGGGCACTTTTTGCCAAGATTATCGCCAGTTTTCGAACTTCTCGAAGTCATCTGTTGATCGAAAGGAGTTAATCACATTGGCCATCTTTGCATTTGGTCAACCAGCATTGTAATATGGAAGTTGCTTCTGAGAATACGCAAAAAGGCCACTTCCGCGAATAATCTCGTCAAAGCGCTGGCTGACACGGCTGTAGTTCTGCCCATACCGTCCCAACTCTCGTAGCCGGATGGATACCCAATCCTGATAAATCTTGTCGGTGGTAGCCACGCCGGCCATGAAGAGCGGCCATGTGATGCGCACCATGAGATGCGGTCTACTTCGATGGAGCTTGAGGGATAGCTCTAAAACTAGGGAAACGGCCTTTTCTTGCGACATCAACATGGTCTGCATGTTGTCTGGGAGAAGCCTGGCAAAGCAGAGGTGGAAGTATACAATCGTGCTGTAGTATGTGATGGCTGCCCAATAGATTGTCTCCATCACGCGGCGCCCGTCTCCCACGATATCGCACGACGGGGCGGCTTTTGCGGACGAGAGAAGCATTTCGAACTCCTAGCATGGTCATGTCAGTCTGAGCAGCGGCATGCGGCTGAACGATCTTACATTGGCTATCTTGATCATCTCATCAACAATCTGCTGATAAGGTGTTTCGTTCCACGAGGTGCTTCTTGCTTGCCGAAATAGCTCGGTGATCCTGAATTGAACCACATGACTTTTGTGGTAAAGGGCTAAGCCGGGATAGTTTTCCATGTCGTCTAGTTGTGCTTTGGCTGGGTAGGTTTCTCCCCAGAACTTCGAAGGCGACTGTCTACTGATACGATAGAGGTTCTCTAGGTTCAAGGGCGTGTTTTCATCTTCTGCATGAAGAAAGAGACGGAAGAGACGGTAGAGATCATCGTTGACTTTGTCAAACCCTGGTTCATGTACAGCCCCAGGTCCAAAGAGAAGCGCGCCTGGCGTAAAGAAGTAGAGGGTCCACAGCAGGAATAGAGGCACTGCTGTAGAAACCAACCTACCGTCAGATGGACCAGCTACCGACTCGACCGGACTCCTGGCCGCTCTCTCGATCAAGCTCGCGCCCTCAGCGGAATTGTCAGATAACAATCCCGCGGCTTCAGGACTCTCGGCAGTAATTGCAGGGGCCGAACAGTCCTCGTACTTCAGCAGAGGTAAGATATGGTTGTGCAGTATGCTTTCAATCCCTCGCAAATGGATGTTGATTGTAGATGCACCACTACCGAACCGGTTCTCGTAATCGATCATCAGCCACAACGTTATGAAAACTGCCTCGACCTTCGACGGGGTCTTCACGCCTTCGGCCAGTGCTTCACGGAGTCTGGACAACGCTGTGCCGTAGTGTACCCTGCCATCGATGTCGGACGAATCACTGGTTGGGGAATACACACGTGTGCTGTCGCAGTCATGAAGACGTGCTCGATGGACTTCACTGGCAGTCGTGGCGAGGATCATGCTCATCACCATAGGTTCCTTGACGGCTACTCTATGGTAGGTGTAGGAGATGGTGGACCACGGCCAATGTTTGCCGAGTATAGTGACTAGGACAGAATCTCGAAGATAGTTCAAGCGAGACCGGTCAGATCCCGAGAGGACAACTGAATTGGCAGCTTGCAGACTACTGTCAGGGGTGCAAGCAGGAAGCAAGACAGTGTGCATGTCAGCCAGTCTCCTCATCGAGCTATGCGAGCTAGCATGGATCCCTGACTCCAGACTCTTTCTATTCCCTGTCGTTGACCGACGAGGGATGGGTCCACCCTTCCATTCGCAGGAGATCCGCGCGACAGAACACCGCCTGCATTGGGGCTCCTTCTTGCTGTCGACGATAATCCGCTCCTCATCGCATTTCACTTTTCGGATCCGACACGTACGGCAACCTGCATTCTATGAGCCATTGCCCACAGGCTATAAAGCAGATAATCCTACCAGTCTTGGAGCGTGCTTTTCGGCCAGCCTTGTACATATTGAATCATTGAACAGCCAAATTGCTTGTCGATGACTGGTATTAATTTGACCCTCAAATCCGAACACGCGGGCGTCAGCGGGGTTCGCTGGCGGGGGATGATTATCCAATGGCTCCTCTTATCATGACGATTGGCATGAAGCGACCAGATGAGGAGAGTGAGAGATACGTCGAGGTTGACATAGCCACCCCAAATCGGCACCGAAGCGAGGATGCGGAGAAATGCCGAGTCGCTATTCGTGATTGGCTGCATCGGCTAATTACACGTGATTTGCAATTGTCTCAGCCAATCATGACATTTGGAGTCACGACAATCCCCATTCGGCAAGTCAACAGGTTGCCGAGATGAACGTTGAAGGTTGCAGCTCTGTTGATCGTCTTAGCAGAACAAGCATATAAAATGCCTCCGAGTCAGCCTTGGCTTGGAGGCCTTCGAAACGATCAAGGAAGACAGCCAAGAAGCAGACAAGCAGGATGCAGCTCTCCGTATCTCATCAACAATTCATCGGAAGCGTTCGCGATGCCATTCGCAAGCATGACGCGCAGCTTAAAGATATCAACAACAAGGTGGGTTTGACTTCATCAAAACCATAACGTCCGCTAACCGTTCCAGATCTGGTCGAATCCGGAACTAGCTTATGAGGAGTACAAAGCGCACGACCACATCTGCGCGCTGTTCGACACCCTTAAAGGCTACGAAGTGCGTAGAAAGGCGTATGGCCTGGACACGGCTCTAGAAATTGAGTACAAACATGGTGCCGGTGGTCGCGTGGTGGCATTCAATGCGGAATACGACGCACTGCCCAATATCGGGCACGCATGTGGGCACAACCTCATTGCGACAAGCTCCATCGCTGCGTTCATCGCCACTTGCGAAGCGATGAAGATCCACTGTCCCGAGGGGCTCGGATATACCGTACGTCTTCTGGGTACTCCCGCCGAAGAGTCGGGTGGTGGAAAGGTGCGCCTGCTGGACAATGGCGCGTATAAAGATGTCGACGCGTGTCTCATGGTTCACCCCATGCCTATGGTCCCCAGTGCTCCGGATTTGCTGTGTATAGCTACAACGGTGCCAGGAGGCTTCCTTGCCAATGATAAGGTACGCGTGACTTTTACTGGCAAACCGGCGCATGCGGCAGCCGCTCCGTGGGAAGGAATCAACGCTCTTGATGCTGTGGTCTCTGCATATGTGAACATCTCCCTCTTGCGGCAGCAGATCAAGCCTTCCCAGAAAATCCACGGGGTCATTGTCAATGGGGGCGACCGGCCGAATGTGATTCCCATGTCTGCAACGGTGGACTACTACATCCGGTCAGACACCGTCAAAAGTCTGAAAGTCCTTACGGACAAGGTGATCAAGTGCTTTGAGGCAGCTGCAGTTGCTACAGGTTGCAAAGTCGACTTTGAATGGTGAGTGTTTAAGTTCTTGTGGAGTGCCCTCGTGCTGATGAGGACAGGGGAATGTCATATGCCGATTTGAAGACGAATCGTCCCATCTGCCAGAGTTTTGTATCTGCGATGCGCGCAATGGGTCACCATACCGTTTATGACAACGCCGGCCAGCCAAATACTCTCGGGGGAGGCTCTACAGACATGGGTATGAATCTTGCTGAGATTGTTCGTTCCAACGACTAATTATGATAATATAGGAAATGTGTCATATGCTGTACCCGGATTCCATGGAATGTTCACCATTGCGGCGGAAGGGGTCAATCATACACCAGAGTTTACAGCCGGAGCCGGATCCCAAGCATCGTACGAGAGATGTCTCGACTGCGCTGCAGGAATGGCAGTAGTCGCCTGTCAGATGTTGGTGGACAATGACTTCGCTGCACAGGTGAAGGAGGACTTTCAAAGAGATGCGTAGATCATGGCATGACCTCGTGTAGGCAGCATACCTCTAGAGCAATCATTAGTGGACGTATGACTAGAATGAAACATGATTCCACCGCATAGTTTCTGTCTGATAAGGGAATGACATTAGGACACCTTGTAGCCTCGGCTCTTCTATCCAATTGACTCAGCACTTTCGGGCCAACTCCTATCCAGTTGTATTCGTATACTGTATCGCCAAAGCTGCCAAGGCCTGCTAGCTTTGCCGACGCAGCCAATGGCACTATTCCGGCAGTGTCAATCATCGGCGTCGTTATCTCTATATCCACGGATTCAACTTTATCTTCGAAATGCGGGGGTACGAGATAGAGATACGAATGTTGCTCAATATAAATAGGGATGTGTGTATACCGAATGAAACGAGACTGCAAGGCTGAGACACTGATTGCAATTCAAAATGGGAAATATGTCAAGCGAGAAGACACTACCAAACAGCAAGCATGGCGACGACCAAGCAAGTTTCGACGAGGGCGCTCTGCAACAGGTTCATGAGTCCTTAGCCCTTTCGTCCACCGCAGAGAAAAGACTCGTCCGAAAGATTGACATTATGTACGTTCGACACGCAATCAGTCTGCCACGTTACTAACAGTTATCAAGGATCCTCCCTATTATGACATTTGCGTACATGATGGCCTTCCTGGATAAACAAGCCCTCAGCTACACGGCCATCATGGGCCTGCGGACGGATCTCAACCTCAAGGGATCAGAGTATAGCTGGTCAGGCAGCATATTCTACTTTGGCTATCTGTTCTTCTCGTATCCGGCCTCGATTCTCATGGTCAAGTTCCCGCTGGGGAAGTATCTGGCTTGCAACTTGTTCGTCGCTTCCCCAATCCTCTAGGGATTGCACTGACAATAAACAGCATGTTATGGGCTATCGTTCTGGCTTGCCATGCCGCCACGACCAATTTCGCCGGGCTCATGGTGGCCCGTTTCTTCCTGGGATGCACCGAGGCGAGTGTCTCCAGCGGTTTCAGTCTGATTACTTCGCTGTGGTATCGGACGTCTGAGCAACCACTCCGACATGGGATCTGGTTCTGTGGGAATTCCATCTCGATGATCATAGGGAATCTCGTTGCAGTGGGAATCTGGCAAATCAAGACCGGTCTGCAGTCGTGGAAGGTATGTCCGCACCCTCTCCAAGTCTCAATCCATTCTTACACACAATGTCAAATAATACAGTGGCTCTTCATCATCTTCGGCATCATCACCTTCCTCTGGGGCATCCTCATGTTCTTCCGTCTCCCCGACACGCCCAACACAGCCACCTTCCTCACAGACGAAGAGAAACTCCTCGCCATCGAACGTCTCAAAGCCAACAAAGCCGGCTACAAGCGCAATACGATCGACACCGCCCAAATCATCGAGGCCTTCGTCGATCCCAAAACCTGGCTGCTAGCCGTCTTGATCCTAGGATTCAATATCCCCAACGGCGGATTCACGACGGTATACCCTTCGTCACACCCCCGAACACCGCAGATGCTAACACACCCCAGTTCTCAAGCCTCATCCTCTACGGCTTTGGTTTCTCAACCTTCAAGACCTTGCTGCTGGGTATGCCCGTCGGCGCTGTCATTCTCGTCTTCGTCCTACTCTCGTAAGTCCCTCCGCTTCTCCCCAGATCTAACCCTCTGATCGAACGATAGCTCCACCATATCCTCCAAAATCCAAAACTGCCGCTGCATCGTCATCGCCGGAGTAGGCTGTATCAGGTAAACCCCCTAACCAATTACGGCACAACTAACAATAACAATGATAATGACGATCACAGCATCCTAGGCAGCGCTCTCGTCTACGCCACCGAGTCCATCGCGACCCGGTACGCCGGCCTCCTCCTCATGGGCGTCTACTCAGTCAGCATGCCCCTGAGCCTGGCAATGGTTGCCTCGAATATCGGTGGGTTCAGTAAGCGGGCGACTGTCGGCGCGATCTATTTCGTGATGTATTGCGCGGGGAATATTGTCGGACCGCAGTTGTTTTTTGAGAGTGAGGCGCCGAGGTATCAGGTATGTGATTTTGGTTATAGATGGAGGGGTTCTGGCTGATGGATGCAGAGTGGATTCCAGGCGGTTATTGTCTGTTTTGTGGTTGTGGTGGTGGTGGCTCTTGCGTTGGGGCTGTACCTGCGGTGGGAGAATCGGAGAAGAGATAGGGTTGCTGGGCCTGTTGAGGACGCGGCGAAGCCCACGGAGTTGGTGGATATCACTGATCTGGCTAATATGCAGTTCAGATATGTCTACTAGATCTGGCCTGATATGCTAAGAAGAAAATCTATTGTTGTGCTATCGTAGAGGACTGAAAACCTTTTCGTATAATATAACATAACATGCTAAAATCAATTCTAATTTTGACACAATCATTGAGCAGGGACGACCATCTTGTCCTTGACATAGAGGTCAACGTACTTGTCAACATCGTAGTTCTCCAGAGAAGAACGGTCCAAGCCAACTTTGAGAAGCTCGTCAATACGGGCCTGGTCGAAGTGGGCCTCCAGGTGGCGCTTGTACTTGGACACAATCTCGGGCTTGGCCTCCTCGCGTCTGAAGCGGTGTCCCAGGGGAGCCTCAACAACGACCTCCTCGAGCACGGTGCCGTCGTTCAGGGTAACGGTCAGAGCGTTGGGGATAGTGCGCTTGGCAGGGTCGTGGTAATCAAGGGTGAACTGGGGGTCCTCCACGCAGCGGATGCGCTTGCGCAGGTCCTCAACCAGAGGCGAGGTGGCGGCCTCGGAGCCGTCAGCGTAGTCCTCGGCGGTCAGGCGGTTGAAGGCCAGCATGGTGGCAACCATGTACTTGATCAAGATCAGCAAAGCTTCCAAGGTCGAGTTCGATTCGAAAACATACCTGAACACAGTGGTCACGGTCCGCAAAGTTGTCCATAGCCTTGAACTGCTTGTCGATAATCCGGATGCAAGCCTCATGGGTCCGGTTGGTAATCTCCTTGATATCCTTGGCACTCTTGCCCATAGCTGCCAGCTTCCTGTTGATAATCTGCGCGCACTCAATGGCGGTCTGAGAGTGGAACTCGGCTGTCAAGGGTTAATAGTGAACTCGTCTAATTCTTACTTCCGCAAACTTACCTGGGTAGGAAACCTTGAAGAGAACGTTCTCCATGACGTAGCTGCCGTACGGACGCTGGAACTTGAACTTGTTGCCCTTGAACAGAACGTCATAGAAACCCCAGACGGGGGCGGACAGAACAGTGGGAACACCGCCCTCGCCCTTCTGGACCTTTAGGACAAGGTTAACAGCACGCTGGCAAGCATCACCAGCAGCCCATGATTTTCTGGACATGGTATTGGGGGAGTGTCTGTAGGTACGGAGACTCTGGCCGTCCACCCAAGCCTGGGTGATGGCATCAGCGGTCTGCTTCTCGTTGAGACCGAGCATCTTAGCAACCACAGCAGTGGTGGCAACCTTGACCAGCACAACGTGGTCCAGGCCGACCCTGTTGTACGAATTCTCCAAGGCCAGAACACCCTGGATTTCGTGGGCCTTGATCATGGCCTCCAGCACTTCCTTAACCTTCACAATCTTGCCATTTCCGAGATTACCTCCGGCACGGTTGGTGCGGGAGATCCAGTCAGCGACAGCGAGAATACCGCCCAGATTGTCGGAGGGGTGACCCCACTCGGCGGCAAGCCAGCAGTCATTGTAGTCAAGCCACCGGATCATGGCACCAATGTTGAAGGCACCATTGACAGGGTCCAGTTGGTAGGGAGTGCCAGGGACACGGGTACCGTTAGGAACAACAGTGCCCTCAACAACGGGGCCCAACAGCTTGGCGCATTCTTTGAATCTCAAGGCCTCCAATCCGCAACCCAGCGTGTCGAGGAAGACCAGACGGGCAGTGTCATACTAAATCAAAATCAATGCATGAGCTACTTCCTTCCAGCGATGCGAACTGAATAATCAATGCCCCGCCTCGATTGACAAATTTCATATTGAGGCCAAAAAATGACTTGGGCGCAACGGAGAAGAACGGAACCATACCGCCAAATCAGAGTTCACACTGTAGTTGTGAACATAATCAGCCATATCCTTGATCTCGGGATCATAGCTCCTCTCTGCCGGAGCAGAGGGAGCACCGTGCTGAAGGGCAGTCATTGTCGAGAATTGTGAAACTCGGGGAGCGCAAGGGTTGACGGCTTTGGCGAAGGAGTTGCGAGCGACAATGCGGGAGGAGGGCCTGGAGACGGAGACGATGCGGGATGGCAAAGTGCGGGGAGACCTGTGGGTCAGCCGTCTCAGCGCCGAACACGAGGCAGACATAATGGAAGGAGAAGGGAAAGAAAGAGGATGCAATACTCAGGAGACAGGAGGAGAGGAGAGGAGAGGAGAAGAAGTTGTAATTAAGGATGGTCGCTTAGCAATGGAGGAGGAGGAAAGGAAAGAAGAGGAGAAAAGAAGGAGAAAAGGGACCGCGAGGGATAATTGTTGAGCGAGTTTGAACTTCTCGCTGGACCGAGGCCGGTTCTGTTTGTTGCCCTGCGGCTACTCCCGGCTATCCGAATGCACACTGTAAAATGGCCAGAAGATGATCCTTCGTCGACGGAGCTCTGATGGTCATACTGTCCAGACTTTCCTCCGGTGTCGGAAAATCGCAATGATATCCTGATTTATTCGAAGTCTCCAGATCTGTAGTGAGCTCAACTGCTCGGTCTTTCTACGTTGCATACAACGGCATCCAGCTGTCATGATTATGGTGTTGCTCAGCTCCACCGGAAAACCTGCGGGTGTCGTATTTTACCACAAGCTTTATTCTTTCACTATCACCGAAGAGCTATTGAATAACCCGATGACCACCTGAATCGCTGTTTGACCGAGAGTCGAGCGTTGAGGAATGATCCTTCTCCGCCGGCGATGATGGTCAAAATCATCCTTTGGAGCTCCCCGCGGTCGGACGGCATCTTTTCCATTTCCGCGGCTATAGCTTAAACCCCATATAATGGACAGAGCATGTGGATCAGCCGAT